GCAGTCGTCTCGTTTATAGTCATCATTTTTCATAATGCTCTTAGTATGAAAAATATCTAAAACTAGATATTTACAAATATACAAACATTAAGTTGATGAAACATTTAAGGGTATCAATACTCTCGTTTTATTTTGCATTTTGCAAGTTTAATGGTCGATACAATGACCTTGTCAGCAAAAGCAGTATATCATTAACTTTAGTCAAATGCTGATCACAACACGAAGAATAAGGAAGGGGTGACCAGTCGACATGGAATGTTTACTTTTATATGGCACCTGATCCCAACTGATAATTTTAAAGGTCCATGTTTTATATATTCGCTCCCGATTAGTAGTGTTTTAATTCGACTTTTTGGGCTGGATTATTTTTCGTTATTTCCATATTTCATGCTAGAAGTGTCGCAGCGTTAAGTCAAAATTATCCTGCAGTTAACCTCTTCATGTATCATACAAACGACCCTTCTTTGAAAAATACGTCGTTTCAAACATACTATGTGTAGAGTAACGCAGTACGTATGAACAATTTCTAAAACGAGGTAAATTATTGACAAACAAGTTAACGAAACAAGAATATCAGCTGTCTCGTTTCAAGTCATCATTTCGAAAGATCTGTGGTCGATATAATGACCTTGTCTGTAAATACAATTTATCATTGAGTCAAATGCTGACTGACGTTTTTCATATTTATTGTTAGTCCATTATTCATACACTGAATTGACGACAGATTTTTCCGTTATTTCCCGATTATGATAAGGAGCACACGGTGGGTGTGACCGGTCGGCAGGGCATGCTCACTCCTCCATGGCACCTGATCCCACCTCTGATGTTTTGGAGGTCCGTGTTTGCTCTGCTCCCATTTTGTATTGTGTTATGGACTTTTGATCTTGGATATTGTTCGTTGTCTCCATATATTTCATACATACTTATTTCGATGAGTGACAAATTTATTATATTTGGTGTTCAATGTGTTGGCTTGGAATGTATTTTTTTCTTTTGTAATATTATTTCTACTAATTTTAGAAATTGACATCAAAATTAATAACAACTGAAAGCTTAATTAACGCCACGATACCGTTATTTATGAGATATCCGTCGCACTTCTCGCCGTGATTGTTAAACTTTACTCTGAATTGTTTCTTTTTACATTTGGAGGACTGCAGGTCAATAGGGGACTGGTTTTCTCCATTACATTCACGCCAGGTCACTCCCCATTTTGTGGGTCCTACAAATAGGTTGGTATTCAGTTACATGTATCTTTTTTTAATACGAGCCTCCCATTCCCACCTGAATACTGGTAGTATGTCTTTAATCAAACGCTTTTTTGTCCCATACATATTCACTTGGACAATTGTTACGTTTCTAGACTAAACTGTATACGAGTATTAGTTTACTACGGTGTAAAATGGTTGCCTTTCATCTTAATTAGGACTCAGAAAAAATGGTAAAGGGGATTTTTAAGAATTGAAATAAATTAGGAATATATAGGAAGTTTAAAGAGTTATTAATGGGAGAATTTTTTTTCTGAAAAGAATTAAAAAATATTCATTTGAAGTATACATACCATACAAATGTCCGCCATAAGAAAATTCGTGGTGCCGTGTACATTGGGCACACTCGGTTAAAACATAAACCAAAATCAAAATCTCAAAAATCCTGTTCATTGTTCTTTTGCATTAGCATTAATATTGTTGAACTCATTGCTGTTCATGTGATATTATCGATATTTCCGCGAGATTTGCTCGATATTTCCGCTAGAATTCTCGAACAAAAATAACAACAAAAGGTATTACAAATATTCCGCAATGTTGCTAATAAATATTAATCATAATCTTTAAACACAGTTTTTTCTTCTTGCATGATTTGGCTAAATGGAGAGGGAAAATAATGTCTTTTAAGAAGTTAATGAAAATAGCAATCAATATACACATTATATTTACAGTTTTTCTCAATTATTTTGAGCTTGTGCCGCCTGGACATACCATTGCTTACAAAAGCATTAAAAATATTCAAAAAATAAAACATGATCTGTTTATTCTATCGATATAAAATATAATGTTAACTAGATGTGTAAAAAGTAATTGATATATCTTAAACGGTCTTAATATTATGGTGCAGAAGTAGTACAGTGTGAGGGAATATACGCCCAAAGTCAAAATTCCCTTACAATATACTACTTGCAGGACTTTTTGATAACCTCTCGTATTATCTTCATAATTAGATATAACCGATAATTTTTTTTTCAAAGGTGACTTTATAACAGATCTTAACTTCCCTTCTGGAGCTTCTGTTTGTCAATAAGGTTTATGATATATGTTTTCCATGTAAGGATTGTTGTAATAAACTATTAAATCAATCTTATAATTTATTTTTATTGGAAAAGGGTATGTATTATTCTCTATATATTTGCATACCTACTGCTCTCTCCCACTATGAACATGTACTCATCAACTGCGTTCATAGGACTATACACGCAACTGGTTCTGCTATGAGTGCAAGTGCTCTATTGCACTCTTGTAGAACAAGCTCTACGACACTTTCAATAGGTGTTGAGAAGTATATATATGAAATGTTTCGTAAAAGAAATAAATATAAGTTTTTAATATTATTTTTTTGGAAAAAAGAAATTCAGAACAATTTAAAATTGCCGATTGGTATATTTAAAATTTAATTATGGTCAATGTATTTAATTGTAAAATAAATACTTTTTAAAAATTGATAGACAACTGCCATATTTTTATTTTTTCTTATCATATTTTTGCATATTTGTACAAAGAACGATAACTCTTCACACTTGGGTTATGAAACATTCAGAAAAAATAGTATATGTCTGTTTCAGCTCTTAAAAATAAATAGAAAAAAAACTTTTAAAAATCATAGAAAAGCATTCTGGAGTTATAATCATTATTAAAGCATTCACTTTTTTCATAATAAGGTTAAATTATTGATTTTTGTCAGAGAATTTCAATAACGTTGATCGATGACGTCACAAGAGGCAAATACTCTATAAATTGTTTGTGATATTAGAGATCCGAAAAGCTGCAATGATGAGATATACTAATTTTTTAGCCGCGTGTTTTTCTTTACTGAAGACAACAAGCCACATCCATATGTAAGCCAGGATTTCCTCTGATATTCTTGACAACATCAAAGAATGCAAATATAAGTAATAAACAACGATTATTTAGTGAACATGGCATTATGAATAGCAATAGCTCTGCTGGCATATTTTCTATGTAATGACGTACTTTTATTGTGTAAGATAATATGTGCCTGTTTCGGATTAAGTGACTTTGAACCAAACGAAGTTTCTTATTAACAATAAGAAGTAATAATTTAAAGGATGATGTGCATTTGCTTTGTAAGCATTTCTTTGTGACAACATTGTTTTCTGTTCAGTTTAGGTATATCACTTGATTGTGATACGACGAAGAAAGATCTTTGCATGAACAATTTATTGAAAAAGACCAAATATTTACAAATACGTTGATATCAACAGTCCATACTAAAGTCAACATTTCGCAAATGTAATTGTCGATAAAATGACAGTGTTTGCAAGTGCAATATATCGTCAAGTCGAGTCTTAACCCACGTTTTCTATACGAAGTGTTAGGCCATTATTTCTCCTTTGAGTCTTCTCTGTTTTATTCCCCTTGCCCAATCATAAGATCGAAGTACATGGCGGGTGACCGATCGGTATGCTTATTCCTCCATGGAACCTGATCCCACCTCTAATGTTTTAATGATCAGTATTAAGTATTTACTCTGCTCTCAATTTGTATTGTTTCAATGGTCTTTTGAGCTCAATTACTGTCTTGCCTCTTTGTATTATTTCTCGATATTAAAAAAACAACTAAATTCTGTAATTACCAATTAAATTCTCATAAGCAATTTCATATCTTCATAATTCACAGTACAATTTTCATTCTAACAAAACTCATTCATTTTTCTTGAATTTTTCACCAATTCTGTTTCAAAATTTAAAATATTTGCTTATTCTGCTGACTCTTTTGGTAATGTCGTTGCTAAACACAATTGCGTAATGTTTTGGAGGTCTGTTTTGCTTTGCTTCTATTTTGTATTGTTTTATGGACTTTTGCGCTTGAATAATGTTCTTTAATATCTCCATAATTTATATTTTATGCATGTATAAGCCGCTTCAGGAGTGCTGATCATGTGAAAGCAACATTAAGCACAGTAAATGAAAATAACATTGGCATACAAAGTTATGCCAATGGAATAATTGTAAAGAAAATTCATTTAAGGTAACAGAAAAATATTTTAATATTAAGTCTTTGGTGTAATACCATTACTGCGAAATGTTTAAGGATAGTATTTTTGTGAAATCTGTGATGCTGTTTCACAAAGATGTTGAGTTTGCTCCGTGCTTATCTAAAACGTTGATTTGAAAATAAAATAAAGATTTACAATAAATTACATAGAATGAAACTCAGACACCAACAAAAAAAAGTATTTTTGCACAAGATAATGTGCTCAATTTAAAGAATGAAGATAATGTTCCACAGATTAACATGGTTCGTAAACTTCCAGAACAACTCTCGTACCTATATCCATGCGTGGATCTAGAGGGGGGGTCGGGGGGGTCAGGACCCCCCCTGGAATTTACCAGGCTAAAAAATGTATATACTAAAACAAGAAAAAAGTTACCATGGACCCCCCTGGTAAACGCGCAGATGTGTGAGATGGGTATGATAAGTGAAAGATTTTAGGCAATGAGGCAATAGTCACCACTCACTCCCCCCCCCGAAATAGGTTTTTGACGGTTGGGCGAGTTTAGGTTTTTTTTTTTTTTTTTTTGCTTGTCAAGAAATTTCTGAGATAGGATTTTTTTTTTCGACTGGGGTGGACCCCCCTGGAAAAAATTTCTGGATCCGCGCCTGTATATCTGATGATGGAAACTATGTTAAAGCATTGGTGATGAAGTTGACAGAAAAAAAATCTATCTTACATGGAAATCACTCAAAGTTGTAGCCATATCGTGTCTAATTTAGATATTTAAACACAGTCACTTTGCTAGAGTTATCATAGCCTACCCAAAGAAGATGTTTTGCTTCATCATAACATATCCTATATGGCGGACTGTTTCTGCTAGCAGTAAGCAATGTAAGCAAAAATACACCGTCTTTATCAATTACTTGCACTGAACTGCTTGTCCAGTCACTCACTAATATGTGTTCAAGTACATCTACACAGATTCCACGTGGGTCCAACTTTGGTCCATTTGGTGGACCTTCATAGGAAAATCGATAGACACCTTTGTGATCTGTTACTATAACTGCCTGTTTATCCAAATCTGCTACGATGACGTCACCGTTCCAGTTTTCTGTTATGTAAGCCGGATATTTATATAGTGTCGGACTTCCATTCTCAGAATCTTGGATTTCTTGACCCGAAATATCATACCTGACTATTCGGCATCTCTTTTCCTTCCACATTCCAATGACTAAGTCCCTGTTGAAATGGGAATAATGAATGCACCGTGGTCGCCAGTCATTACCTATTTTAAATAAACTTACTTTCGTGTTACAATCTGAAGACAGTTTCCTGATTTCTGACCCTTTGTCAATATAAATCAGGTCGCCTGTTGTGGACACCGTGTACACACCAAGTCCCCCAAAGTCTTCAAGAATTCGATGAGCTACGGATATCCTGTTTTCTTCAATTCTCATCAACAAGAGACTATTTTTATAGTCACTGATCCAAATCAGGTTTGAAGTTACGCAATTAATATGACATACACGATTTATGTCTTTCAGAGGAATCGAAGAAAAAAGAGTTGGTTGGTGCATTTTATATTCTGGCTTGACTTTTATATTTTCGTCTTTGATGGCGAAATCTGCCAGTATCTGAACTATTTCAGTTATGTTAGAATTTTCGTCAAGAGACGTTAAATTTAATTTTGATACATGTTTGGGTACACATTTCAGACATTTAAAAGGTTTCCCAGTCACAAAATAAAGGAATTTTACAGGCTTGATGGCTAACTGGTCATATTCGTCGCAAAGGTTTTGTAATTTTCTGAAGTGCGTATTGGTCATCACCATTTGCTTACGAAGTATGCTACTGTGGTTTCTGTATATAATGGCACAATAATTTGAAACATATCTATCCAACAATATTTTTAGCCTCTTTCCTTTTTCAAGCATGTACCCGAGTAATTCATTCGACAGGGCGCCACTACTGTTTATATCTTCCTGAGCCCTAGTCTTAATCGAAAGATTGAACGGCAGTATCCTTTTGCAAATTTTCATGAAGGTTTGTTTGTTTTCTGCTATTTTTCTTTCGACAGCTTCTTGTATATCTATTACTGTATGATTGAAATGATCTGCACATCTATTACATGCCGGCACTTTGCACTCCTCACACCAAAAATTACAAGCCTGTTCTTTATGCAAGATACAGTTTTCAAACATGCTTTCTTGATACGCTGAGGCGTCTTTACAGTTTTGATATCCTTAATTACCCCCAGTATCAAGGTAGCTGTGAATTTGCACTTTTCTTTTCTTGATGGGTGATGAACCTACAGTGGGAAGATGGATATCGATATTGCATTCTTAAAAAAAACCCAAAAATTTCCTTAATATTTTCTTGAGGTATTATAACTGCAGAGATTTAGTGTCTTCTATTCTGTCCTCCTTTTTGTAATCTTCTGTTTAGATGGCTTGGCTTTAGTGTAAGATTCTTAAATATAAAAGAAATTCTAACGTTAAGATTTGCGCTTCTTCGATGCATGTATTATTATCAATAGAAATGAGCTTAAATAAGAAATTTACGGAAGTCCATGCATTTAGGACATATCGAAAAATATTTTTGAATCCGATATAACGAATTGTCGAATTTGTTATAACGAATTTAATTCATTATAACAATTTCTTTGAATTTGTTATAACGATTTTAATCTGTTAAAACAAATTTGTTGAATTCATTATAGCGAATTCTTTAATTTGTTATAACGAATTAAATTCGTTAAAACGAATTCAAAAATTTATTATAACAAATTAAATTCGTTTAAACAAATTCCAAAGTTTTTTTATAACGAATCAAATTATGGAATTCGTTTAAACGAATTCAATTCGTTATAACAAACTTTAGAATCTGTTAAAACGAGTTTAATTCGTTTTAACATTTTTTTTAATTCATTATAACGAAATCAAGAAATTTGTTATAACAGATTTAATTCATTGTAACGAATTCAAAGAAATTGTTATTACGAATTAAATTCGTTATAACAAATTCGACAATTCGTTACATCAGATTCAAAAATATTTTTCGATAGGTCCTAAATGGGCTTCCGTAGAAATTGATTAACCACTACAACCTGAGAAAGTTTTATATACTATACCAGTATGAATCAAATGATCCATGCAATTTAAATTAATAATAAAGTAATGATAATCTTATACTTCTACAAATAGATCTTACCTGAAATGTACAAAGATCAAATTTTCAAAACCATTTTGATTTTTGTTAATAAATGCTACTATTAAATTGAAAAAATCAAACAAACCTTTCTGTTAAGGTCAACACAAATAAAAATCTTCTGGGGAAGCTCTATAATTTTTTTTTAGCAAAATCAGTACTCCATCCTTTTTCTTCGATTCGCTAAACTCATTGATGAATTTGATCTTCACATGCAGTCCTGTTTTGATAAATCATGGGCTAACTGTTTCCACAATAAGAATAAACCGATCCCCTTCGAAAACGCGGATATAACAATGTGTAATCTGTTTGTTAAGCAGACTGAACTTTTTAAACGATCTATCATAGAAGTTTTGCAAGATGTTCTGGACTTCCCAATCGACAGGCACCTGTGTTATGTACGTGGGCACGGAAGTGATAACAGGTAAGAATATCTTACGAGTGGTAATATGGGTGTGGTGTTGACGCATATGGACTTTAAATTCCACGATATTCTGAAAAATCTCTGATAAATTCTGCTACTTCCTGTCAGTACTGTTACAGTATTTCTCCCTGCAAACACTGCACAGTCACTGTACAAACACCCTGTACCTACTGTAATTCCCAGTAAACCCCAGTACAAATCCAGTCAGTGTATTAATTATCTACTTTGCTGAACAGCACAGTATGTACGCCCTGTACACCAATGTTTCTCAGTGTATGTCTCCGCAGTACGACACTGTACATCAAAGACGTGAACGGGGACAGAAAGTGTCTTTTTTTCGTTTGTTTCAGGTGCTGCGTTCGTAAAACGAAAACAATCCTACAGAAAAATTACTAGGCCTATATATATGATTTATTATACATATAATTTATTTTTGTGCATATTATCAATAATTTGACATATTTATAAAACTGAAACTATGAAATTCAATGTTTTTAGTACTTCTACTTTGAATAAAAAACATTTCAATAAGAAATGTATTGCAGTATAGAAATTCACTGTTACGATTTGATACTTTGTACGTTCTTCTCGATATTGTGGTATGACCAAGCAGCAAAAGATTAAAAGTAATTTAAGAAAGACGTTGTACATGTTGTAAGGTTGTGTTAAACATAGACACTAGAATTGTCTTCTGCGTATTTTATGTGTTTATAAGAGAATTACGCAATTAAGATACTAGTATCCATGTATTTACAATCTATTCCAAAAGTACACATCTTTTCCTTTTTTAATTAAACAAACCTATATTTTTTATGCATAGTCTCCCTGTCAGTGACGTAGCATCGTTTTTGAAAGGGGGGCATCCAGAGAAAAAAAAAGTTTTTTAACTTACCTGAAAAAGTTGACAGTAATACAGTACCATTTCTTGAAATACAGGGGGGGGGGGGGGCAGCCTTTCAAAGAACATTTTCAATAATAAAAGTTATGTTTGGAAAAAAAAGTGGAGGCCAGGTTTAGTAAATTTTCACGTCTTTTGTTGCAAAGTCTGAAAATGATCCTGGGCCTCATTTTAATGGAATGTCCCGTCTATCTGCATGATCAATACAATCAATCAATCATTACAATCAATAATGCTCACAGTGGGTGTGACCGATCATTAGGGGATCTCCTCATAAGAACCTGATCCTACATGTACCTCTGATTTTTCTTAGGGTGTGTTTTGGAACCCATTTACAGATTTGTATTGCTTGTATATTTTTGAAATCGATCGTTCTGGGTAATCTTTAACTTTTCATTGTACCAGTATAACCCTTCGACATCTCTAAAGCCGTGCTTATAGAATATAAAATTCAATTTAAAAATTTGGAATTTTATTCCAAAAACTACCAATCTTTTAAAAGTTTGTATTTCTATCTTTATTCCACATTGTTATATTTTTTATTTGCGTGTTTAGATGTTACAATACACGTGTCTTTTTCCTAGAGGCTGTAGCGGTCGGAGATTGGTCAATTCTGCTATTGGGGCACCATGGTGATACGTTTTCAACTTCCGGAAAAATGCCATCTATGAAGGTAAAGTAATTAATTAAGATAATTAAATTTTGGCAGTGCTTCTAAAAACATCCTTTTCGATCTGACGTATTTTTTTTTAAAAATTATATTACTACTTCAGTTTGATTTTGTAATGAAACATTAGTTGAATTATCTTCTGATGTAATGTTTGTCGATTGAACGTAGTAGATTTTTAATAATAAAGATATCTCCCATATCATATACGACTGAGCTACTAACTGTGACGGTAATTGAGATTCGAACCCGCGATCTTAGAAAAAACATTCAGTCAGTAAGAACTGTATAATGCGGTAGTGGATTCGTTTTTTTTTTTTTTTTACACATGAAGTTCATTATAGTGAAAAAAAGTTTTGTTCAAATCATTATGACTTAACGCATGCAAAAAAACTCCTATCCCCTTCCGCAGAAAATCACATATTATAAACAAAGGAAATATTGCATAGCTTCTGTATGGTAAAAATTCCCCTACTTTTAAAATAAAGAGAGTAACTTTGAATCAGTCACGTGTCTTACTGTCCTTGATGATATAGTCAGGCGCTTCTTGAAAACCAGCCAATTAACGCTCTCGTAGCATCCGGGCGTGGTTAGTGATCCCTTGTAGAAAAACATTCGACCTCTCTTTGGAATACAGGACACAGGATTAAATACAGCTCTGACGGCGTGTCCTGTAGGAATACGCTAGATGTATGCTCAAAATGAACAGTATAACACGATTATAAGAAGCGCACTTTATATGAATTACAATAATAGCGAAGTGATTTTCATTCCGGTTGGTCTTGATACATTTGTCTTTATACTTTCAAGCAAATACCCAATTACCTGAAATTTTTTTTAAACGAGGTAAGTTATTGACAAACAAGTTGATGTTACAAGAATATCAACAGTCTCGTTTAAATCTAAGTCATCATTTAGTAAGTTTTATGGTCGATACAATGACCTAGTCAGCAAGTACAATTTAATAATCTACCATTTAATCAAATGCTGACTTATGTTTTTCACATCATTGTTCGGCCAATATTTACACACTCAATTGTCGACGGATTTTTCCGTTATTCCCGACCCCCGATGATAACAAGGAGCACATGGTGGGTGTGACTGATCGACAGGAGATGCTCAATCCTCCATAGCACCTGATCCAACCTCTGATGATTTGGAGGTCCGTGTTTGCTCTGCTCCTGGGTTGTATTGTTTAATGGACTTTCGATCTAGGTGCTGTTAGTTATCTTCATATGTTTCATTTGGTAAGTAATCTTTCCCAAAGGGAAAAAACATCATTTTGGCATGATTATCTGTTTGTCTATCAGTAAAACCCATATTTACCATATAACTCTATAGTTTCATCTAAATTTTCTTACCTGGGCAATACACATGGGAGCCATACTTCCGGAAAAACAAGTCAATGGATGAAAGTCGGGCTCGGCAACACTCCTGCATTTATATCAAAACATCTTTTTTTTTTGTGTTTATATAATTTTCAGTATGGAAAATATTTCACGAGAGAGAGGGAGATAGAGAGAGAGAGATACCTTGAATAAAATGGCAACGACTGCTATACCGTCTTTCTTATCAATAGCATTGGTCACAGTTCCATACTTGGTATTGAAATGAACCATGTGAAGCTAACGGAGGAAGCATGTATTAAAATTTATATTTAAATCCTCCTTAAAACTTTGCAGAGTACAGTACAACCATTTGAATCAGGAAGAAATTAAATCGTTTCAAATTTGCTTGATTAAGAAACATAAGATTTTGTGTATATACATGTATACTTGTGACGTTTGAAACTTGCATATTTACATTTTAAAATTCTTTGTCTTAGATAAAACTACAAATAGTAAAAATACTTTATTTCTACATAAATCTACTGGTTCATCGATAGGCGTGGTTTATAAAACCACGTGCGGGGTGGGACAAATAGAGACGGAAGCGGGGCTTGTAGCACGTAAATTTGCGGATTCAAAAGCATGTAAAAATAAGGAATAACTTTCAGATTTTTTGGGTGGTCTCATGGCAATGATCAATTGATTTGCATGCGTAATAATTTTATGTTCGGCGTTTTTTGCAAATTATCACGCAAGCCAATCGACTGATCACACCATGAAACTAAAAAAACTGGACAGTTATTTCTTAAATATAATTTCAACATTCAAGTATCTGAATTACATAAAGCTCATCAATCCGACAGAATTATTATTATCTTAGGCTAGTTACCTCGGCTGAGTATCTTTTTCCATTAATGGCGTGTTCAGTTCCCCAATCTCGTTTTGAACCGAAGTGGAAATGCCACTGGGCCAGCTGATACTTTACCCTGGGGTAAAAGGGAATCCCCGTGATAAACTTCTTCTTGCAGCACTTCCTGACAACAAATGTAGGGGCGTGTCCTTTTGAAGAGAAAAAAAGTATCATGCATGAATAATTTTATCTTATAACTTTACTGTTTAGTGGTGTTGGCTACATGTAATTTTTTTAACAGATTAGGTATTTCAAGAATTCAGGTTCCTAACGAGACGAATTCTTTCAAAACACTTTCAATGACAAAAACCTTGAAGTTCTCTTTTCGCACTTTCAAGTTTGCCTCTTGCAGTTTATCCGTTAAATTCACATGCAAAGAACTTGATATACATTTGCTGTACGATAAATTTAAACATATATATGCATGGACATGCAAAGTTATTGATAAGTAAACAATTTTCAACCGAGTCAAGCTTCTGGTTAATAACTTAAAGCTACACGGCTTTCAGCAACCTCCTTTCATGTCAGTATTCTGAAAATTTCATGCCAGTATCGTTTGGTCGTAATTTTACGGTCATGTGTCATAAAATTTGTT